GCCGGAATACCATATTTTATCATTGACTGGATGTTATTTGTTCCGCACATCAGTTCCCCATCATATCTGCAATCAATCGTAAATTAGCAGGGAATATGCAATAATATTTAATGGTTCGGCCAAGAAAGGAAAGTTAAAATTCAATCGAAGCAGAAAATAAGGTGGGAGAAAAAGTAGGATCCGAAGGAGAGGATAACCATCGCCAGCTTTCATTCAAAGCCTCCTCTTCTCTTCTTTATGATTAAGCAAAAGGAAAGAGCAGATAAGCTCTCACACACGCACACACTTACACGCAGGCGCACCTACAGAGTCCCACATTATGCAATGATCTGTCCAGTGCTCGGCTCTCCCACTCTCCTCATTCCGTTCCGCCTCCGTCTCTTCCGCTCTTTGCATTCTCAGTCTGTCTCGCTTTGGCTTGTGTCCAGTGAAGGAAATGAGGTGAATGCCTTCTTAGCAGGCGACAAAGAAAACAGAAGACCAAAAAACGAAGAGACAGAAAGAGAGTCAACAGAGGAAGCGGTGTAGGAAGAGGCCTGGGCTGCCCAAAGTCCATAAGCCATGCGAAATCGATATATTTCAGGGACACCTCAACCCGCCGCGACTCTGCCTCTCCTTCCCTTTCTTACATTGCATTTTATTTTGTTTCCTTCTTCTCCCTCTGCTTGTCCACCGTCTTGTGGACATGCTGCTTATGCTTTTGCGCCTCCTCCTGCTTCTCATTCTCCGCCTCCCTTTTCTTGAAGTGCACTGCGGTTTCCACAATGTTGCGCTCATTCAGGGTGTTGCCAAGGCATATTTATAGAAAGAGTGAGATAATAAGACAATAGGTGCCTATATATCTCCCATCTGACTCTGTCTTTATGTGCCAGAAAAGCGAAAGAGTAAAACAAATTAGGCAACTATCATTGAGACGCTAACTGCGAAAAGCTTACCCTGGCCGGCAATATACCTTGGGTGTAATGCTAAAGGAGGAAGGGAGAGAGTAGTTCAGCTTAGGATTAGAGTGTGAGCGCGCTGCTAGGAATTACGAGGAAAAGATAGAGGAAGATAGAGGCCAGCGGAGGCCGAGCCGAGCGCTGCCAAAGAATGCAACGCCTGTCGAAGGGGGAACAGAGCAGAAAGAGGGTGAGAGCATGACTAGTTTCGACTGCCTGCCGCCTGCCGTTGCTTTTTTTTTTGTTTTTGGTGGGGTGGTGACTCACCCACAGAACATTTGCCGACAGCTTGCAGTTTATTTATTTTCTTTTTGCATTTGTTTCTGCTTGAGAGTGTGTGTTTACTCACGTGTGTGTTCCCTCACGTGTGTATGGGTGTGATTGGTAGTGTTCTCTTTTCTTGTGGTCTGGTTTTCTGGTCTTCCATGTGGTGTGGTCCTTCTCTGACACACGTAGAAGCCACATCAATCCATCAGCCGACTTGTTTAAACGTGTCGTTTGGGGTCGCGCCTTCTGCTACGACGAGGTGGAAGATTGGCAACGACTGTTGAATACCCTGCAGCGTCAGAATTGATGGATTTAGAATGGATGTTACCATAAAATACAGCTTTAAATACTCTCTACTCTTAGAATTACACATTCCCTCATTTCTATGATCCCTTGCCCATTCATTCAAGCTCTCCACACCATCCATAGACACAATACAAAAAACACTATACTTTCACAGAAAAACGAACACTCCACAGCGCTCAAAGACCTAGGAAAAACTTTTTCTGCCCAAGGTTTTTTCTGTTTTTTCTTTTTTAGTTATTATCTCTCATCTTTTACCGCCTTTTTCCTCATCGTTGACTTTACCTTTTCTCAAGCTTTTACACGGAGAGTCTCCTGCCTGCCCCTTGGGGCACTCAATTATCTGCACTTGTCACACACACACAGAAATCCAGATGGTGGCTTTTGAGCCCCCTGGGATAATGACGATCACTTAGCACATGATCCATCCATCCATCCATCCATTCGGATCGGAGATCTAGCAGAGACAGAGAGAGAGAGAGAGGTTGGATGATTAGCAGACGCGTTCATACATAAATTCTGAGCTTTATCTCTGATTTAAGACTGAAAAGAAAATTGCGTAACGGTTTTCTTGGCAGGTTTTCCATCCAGCTCTACTGCCCCCTACCCCGTTCCATAAATCGCTAATTGCTGGGAGCTGCTGCTCATAAAGTGGGAAATGTTGCAACAGTCATTTTGGGGGAGTGGAGCAGCAGAGAGTTGGTGGAAGAGGCTGTGTGTGGGGGTTGCGGGGAATACTAAATTATCGTTAAAATAAATGTACGCTTTTGTTGCCTTTGGTTAATGCAAATATTTCCCCCTATAAAATACCTCCAAAATGCTGCCAAAAATTGCAATGATTGGGATTCCAAAAAAACAACAAAAAAGGGGGAAAGCGATACTCGAACGATCCTCGAACGATTACCAATCCTACCTCGATTTCCCCACTGAACCTCCTTTGATCCGTCATCGATTGCTGCTCCACTGCACTCTCCATCCAAAAATCGTATCGGATCGAAATCGGTCTGATGGTCAAGCCCTTAGCCCGAGGCCCAACACTTGTTTTTATGTTATTTTGGGGCCGCTGTTTTTTTTTTCGTTTTGGGAAAGCATCGAATCATTGATTGCATAAGTAGGACAGCAGTAGGCGTGGCAGTGGAATTTGGGTTAAAAAAACAGAAAGGGGAAGCAGCAGAAGATGGAGGAAAAAGGTGGATCCACAAGAGAAGGACAAGCCAGGGGGGAAAACAGAAAGGCGACCCACAAAATGAGGAATGGAGTGAGTTGGTGCATTGCCAGTGGGGAGCAGGAAGTGATTTATGTGGAGAAGAACTCTTTATGTGTCGTATTTGTGACCCATTTAGCAGCACAAATCAACTCCCACATGTGGGTGGAAATAACAAATTCCCCAAACCATTTAAATGTCACGAGAATGTCACACCCCACAGATCGAAGTGTGGAGGCGCCTCCTCCTGTGTTCCCTAGTGAACAAATGTGTTGGCTGTCACGCCCTCTTGCACCTCGAAAATGCAATGAAATTCTTCAAGAGTTGAAAGTTGCCACCAAAAGTGTTGCAATGGGAATGGTTTGTGCATTTGCTGTGGATGCGGATTCGCTTTGGTTTCATTTCGGTTTCGTTTTAGGTGTGGAATGACACTTTGAAGAGAAGAGAGGAGTGGGATCTCGGGTCTCGGGATCGCTGAGATGGCAAATTCCTTAAGGGGAAGTCAAGATTATTTATAGACCTGGAAGAGCTGTGAATCAGTGGAAAACTAAAAATATTTAAGAGTGGAATTTGTACTATAATAATCTCTAAACGTTTTCCGATGATATATGAAATAGTTTAATATAATTTCAGCTATACTTTGGGTCTTTAATGGGTTTTTAACGTGTTCTAAATGAAATTCCATGGTCTTTATTATATTTCTAGTTCTGAGGTTCATAGAATTAGTATGCTTTTGGTTTTTACTGCAATTTTTATCGATTTTGGTTAATTTTCATTCCATAATCGTAAATTCTCTTTTCTATTGCTTTTAGGTAAGTAAAAAGCTGACCATCCAATGCAGAAAAACCCCGAATAAAATCATGTGCACTTCCGTCACTGTCGGAACTCTCTCTTCGCAATAAAAAGCTGTCACTGCTGTGGACAGGTAAACGTCATAACGATAATTTCTTCCCTTTACCATTTTCCCCAAATGCTTTTGATGGTTAGGCGCAGGCGGAATTGTAGATTAGTAGACAGATGCATAACGTGGCCGTAGGCCGGATATGGAAATAGTAATCCATATGATAATAATATAACGATAATCGTATGCAGATTCGTATGGTGGTTGGCTACCATCCTCAAAAGGAGTGTAGGAAGGCATAACTCTTCATGTAATTGAGGATGTTATCAAATAAAGCTCCAGATATTTGGGAGCGATAGATATTTATGCGGAATTATAGCGAATTTTCATAGAAAATCAATGGAAAACAAATGAAACTCCAAAAGTGTGGGGGAGCTGGTTCGAATTTTGTATTTTTTATGGGACTATACAGCCAATTTTCATTCAAATTCCTTCAACGAATGATAAATGGACTTTGTCTTATGCAACCTTTTCTTTCCCATCATCGTCACTGGTGTCCTGTACGGATCCGGAGGCAATCGCAGTCGCCGCCTTTGCTTGACTTCTTTGGCCAGATCTTTGTACACCTTGCGCCGCTCCCTGGCCATGTGATGCCACATGTCGCGGGCCACGCGTTGCAACAAAACCAAATCGTTGAAGCTCAGCCTGCGATTGTGTATGGGATACTCATCCTCCAGCAGTCCTTGCCTCCATTCCTGATCCAATTTCATTTGGTAATAGGATTCGTACATTTGACGCACAAAGTTCTGAAACCCCGAGGTCTCGCCATGGATCACAATCTCACGATGGGCCACATGTTGCAGGGTGCTTCGCGTGAATGCCACATGACGACTGCCGAGAGTGGAAGGTGCTGTCCACATAAAGGAGGCGGGTGCGGGTCCTCGTATACGAATTTTGGTTTGTGGATAGCTCCATTTTGGTGTAGTGGAAGGTGACGGTGTGACGGAAGATGACGGTATAGTGGGAGATGATGGCGTTGATGTCGGGGTTGGCGTTGGTGTCGTGTTTGGAAGAATTGATGCCAGAGACTCCTCCGTTGTGCCATTCAGACGATTCACCACCGAGTCGAGCACTCGCCAAGCGTTAGAAAAGATGTTTGCCATTTTTCCTGAAGCAAACGATGACTGAGGCATAAGCGCCTTCTTTGCTGCACCAAAACTCCCCCTGAAACACGAATTTTGGATGATTTCCGAGTTTCCCTTGACTTTTCATTCAGTTTGGATTTTGTTTGATAGGCCATAGTTCTGTCTTCCAGTTTTAGTTTACACACAACCTCCCGGCTCGACAGCTTATTCGAGAGCTAGGAAAATATTTGTTTAATTTATTTTTTACAAAAAAAAAAAGAAACTTAGAAGTTTTAAAAGAAAAATCCCCAACAAATTACCCCAGATTTTGTCTGTTTTCTGTCAGTTATGGCTGACGATGATCATGACAATCAATTTGATACCGTGGATTCGGGCGCTTCAAAGACGTTTCCCATGCAGTGTTCGGGTCTGCGCAAGAACGGCTACGTAATGCTGAAGGGACGTCCCTGCAAGATTGTCGACATGTCCACCTCAAAGACGGGGAAGCATGGACATGCCAAGGTTCATCTAGTGGGCTTGGACATCTTTACCCAGAAGAAGTACGAGGACATTTGCCCCTCCACCCACAACATGGATGTGCCACAAGTCAAGCGCGAAGACTTCCAGTTGACCGACATTAGCGATGATGGCTATGTGACACTTCTGTCGGAGAATGGGGATCTGCGCGAGGATCTCAAAGTACCCGAAGGCGACCTGGGTAGCACTCTACGCGAAGACTTCGTCAATGGCAAGGAACTGCTGTGCACTGTGCTGGCAGCCTGTGGCGAAGAGTCCATCATTGGCATGAAACTAAATACCGGATTGGACAAGTAGAATTTTTAATTTTACTCAAATTTCAACAAGAGAATTTATATATTTATCCGGCGGCACGCGGAGGTCTCTGAGAGATCTTTTCGACTTACACCGATTAATTACTGCGCGTGTAGAACTCCACATTTTTGTTTGTTTTCCAAATAAATATTCTCTGTTTGACTCCACGAGCTATAATGCCTCTTAAATGAATCTAATGATCTAGGGATACCAGACATAACCTAACGATCTACAAGCTCTCCCTAATATAATAGTTCCCAGAAATACCGAAACATCTGTAATCAAAGTGCAATCCCCACATTTATCTACAGCGAAGATTTCAACTATTTATCAAACAACAAATTCCTTCAACTTGCCCCAAAGTCCCACATCAAATTAATTAAAGATCATTAGAGAGCGTTGTTTCCCCTCCTCTCTGTCCCTCTCCCTCTCTCTCTCTCTCTTTCTCTCTCTCTCTTTCTCTCTCTCTCTCTCTCTCTCTCTCTCTCTTTGGTGCTCTGCTGCACTGTGATCTTTGTGAACTTTCAGGGCGTGTCAGGGTCGTCGTCGTCGTTGGTTATGAAATCATTTCAAATGGTTTATCAAAGTCGAATCTTGTTGGATTACAATTGGGTTCGTGGCATAGGTTATTGACCCACTAAGCCACAGCGAAAAAGTAAGCCACAGACGGTGTCTGGGACTCCTAGATGAAGTGGAGCAACCATCTGTAAACATTTTCCTAGTTTTATTTGCAGTTTTTGTCTGTTGTGGAGTGGGGGAGTGTCGTTTCCCATTTGCATTTTCATTAATTTTCTTGTAAAATACTCTTCAAATTGAGGTATAATGACTTTAATGTGAGGTTTGAAAGGCAGAAATGGTAGCATACCAAATGAAATTACTTAATTTTCGAGATTTTTATCTGATTTATAATTTTTAATATACATATTCTAGGGTATCAAAAGGTTCCAGTGCACATCTCTGGACTGGCTCTCCCATTTGCCTCTTGCTGGCGTCTCTTAGGCGGCACTAGGATGCTCTTTCCCTCTCTTTCTCACTGTCTATTTGTCTCCTTCCTCTTTTCTTCTTAGAGATCATTGGGGGAATTGACAGCCGCCGTTCGTTTTGCTTCCTTGTTTGCCAATTGCAACGCCAAAACGGCTCTTGAAGTGCATTTGCATGAGGCCTCCATGCAGGAATGATAGATGGCTGTAGGGGAAAGGGGAGTGAGAGTGGGAGTGGGAGGAGGCAGCAGCAGCAGCAGGAGACTCTGTTGGCTAGACATACACTTACCCAATCATTCATTCATTCAGACAGTCAGTCCGTTGTTCATTCAATCATTTGCCTTCCTTCCATTCCAACCTCCCTCCCTCCCCTCCCCCTTGTTGGCTGATTCATTTATTCATTATTCCTTCCGCCACTCTTCCGTGGCCCCCTTTGGCTTTTATGTGCCCCTCCCGTACCTCTCTCGTGTCATTTTGGCTGCTTCATTTATTCGCCTTCCGTCGCCTGCCTCTTCCCCCTGCTCTGCGCTGCTGCTGAGCGTAGCGTCTCATTCATTCAAATTGTTTCGTAATTGTTTTTTATTTGTCTGTCTGGCAATTTGACATTTTCTGTTAACTCTCCCGCAGCAGTCGGCTCCTTCTCCTCTCCTGATTGTCTATTACTCTCCTGCTTCCATCTCTCTGTTCTCCCCTCTCCCTCCCCTCTGATAGGTGTGTTTTCTGAGCTTGTTTTCATTTGGTGCGTGATCTCCTCCTCCCCCCCTCTATGGAAAATGTCTTGTCATGTCTTACGGTTAACTGCAATAAATTTGCTAAAACAATTTAATATGATTTTTCAGTTAATTTTTTGTAGGATTTGTGAATTGGATTGGGGCAGTGGCCACTCCTTTCAAATCAGAATTTACTGAAATCGAAACCCTGGGAACATACTCCATCGCTGCTGAATGATGTCAGAACTTTAAACCTGTACCCCGCCCATAAGTCACTCTGAAAGAACCCCTCTCCGGGTGCCCCTCTAATAGATCAGAAACACCGAAAAGCAAATTGAAAAATGGAACAAACAAATGGAGATATGTTGACAGCGCCTGCTCTCAATAGGTCCGCTGATGAGGGCGGAAAGCGTAATTGGTGTTGGCCAGCAGGGGGTTAAAGAGAGAGAATTAACGAAGTAAAGGCAGTGGAAGAGGGAGAGAGCGATAAGCCCAACCCGCATATCGTTTGCTCGAGTTAAAAGTCACCAGAGGTAGTACAGTAACATTCTGCTTTATGCGATTGCTGGGAGTACATTTTCATAAGAATTGTTGAAAAGATTAATGTAGGAATTACTCACACAATTGATGGATGGATACAACTGGTTTGAAGTGGTTCCCCGAAGAGAAAATATTATTAAATGAATTTCATTTAGAGAAATATTCCAATTAAATGAGAACGATCGCTCAATAGATCTTTTATGCTTCTAAACAGATAAGAAAATTTAACAGTGGAACAGTGATAGATCGTTGATGAACAAATAGGGTAATTTCTCAGTGAAATTTATTCAATATGGAACACAATGGAAAATGGAAAACTGCTAACAAGGGCAGCCATTGGAAAACTGCATAAAATATTCGTTACACATATTCCCTGGGATATATTCATATCAGAGGGTGGACTCCGCTCTTTAATTGAAAAGTGTTGCAAAATCCGTAGGCAAAAGATTTCTCAAAATTAGCAAACAATCAGAAAAAGATAATTCATACATATTTGCTCCATATTCCCATCAAAGTGATATGCAACGGCCTCAACGTCTCCCCCTAACTGTGGTTGCAATCACCTCCGCTCTGCCTCATAGTGCGTGTTATTGAAATGCCGACTTAAAGAAGAGACTTTTGATCCGCTTTTGCCTCTAGAGACCACTCCCTCTGGCTCTACCCATACACCAACTGACATAATTCCCAAAGAAAATGTTAAATGCATTAACAACAACAGTTATGTCTCAATTATTGCCCCCCAAAACCAGTTTACAGCTGCAGAAAACTGAGAAACTCACTGAGGAAAAACGTCAAAAGAAAACTTAAATTAAACTTTAAGAAGCAGCAAAACAATTTCCATCACAACAGCAACAATAACAAAGCAAGTGAAGGTTACATAATCGAAGTGACTAATACCTCTGAAAGTAATTCTCTCGGAAGTTCAAATTGTTTATTACTTTCGTCTCTATTTAACTAACTTGAAGCTAAATCGAGAAATATATACCTGATTCGCTTTGCCGTCCAAACGTCTGCTTGAAGCTGTTATACCTTGTCATTGAATAGAGTATAGAAAAACAATAACAATTAAGGCAAACAATGTGGAAAAATTGCAACAAAAAAGGCGGAGAGGGAAAAACCTACACGCAATGCAGTTTTTCCTGCTTCCCATGGCCCAAAAAGACCAGCAAGAAAAACCATCAACTTGTTGGCATTATATTACATTTTCTATAAATTATTTTCCTTTTCGTGTAAAAGCTTGGGAAGAAATCTAAGGATGCAAATTGTTCGGTGGGCGAAAAAAAGTCAATGAGGATGCTTAAGAGAAGGTTTTTATGAAGAAAGAGATAATAAAAGAAGACTTTTACAGGAAAAGCCGAGGAGTTTCTCGTAGGGTTTTGTGGCCACATAGAAAGGCTAGAGAAAAATGTTTTAAAGGAGTTTTTTAGAGGCTTTTTATTGTCTAAAATGGGAAAGCCTTTAACCTTAAGCTGTAGTGGTGGTTTTTTTTGGGGGAAAAGTGCCACTTCGTTGAAGAGTAGAGAAAAACCCACGCAACGTTGACGGCCTTAATGGAGACATTAAAAAGAGGCCTCTTCCCCACTCCCTCTCTCTATCGCTCTCCATATGCTGTTGTGGCGCCTCAATTGCTTTTAATGGTCACTTGTGGCACTCCACTTCCCCCCGTCCCATGCCCACCATGTGATGGCATCCACTGCACTTTTCCATCGTTTCAAACTGTCGCAACTTTGTTAAAGTTTTTATTTTTATGTATTTATGTATGTATGTTGGGGGCTTTTCTCCATTGGGGCTTTATTTGTCGTCTGCTACTCATTGAGCACTCCTACGCACGCCTACGCTTTGTTGTTGTGGTGCCCTTCCTCCTATGCCTCCCGCCGCCCTGCGTGTCTGCCTGCCACTTTTTCATAGGCTATTAAATGTTGCACTATAAAGTTGCCCCTTAACTTGAATGGATGACTGTCAGTGGTGCTTGGAATGGAGCTAAAGTATGACATTCTCACTGGTTCCTCTAGCTAGCTATTTATGCATAGCTTTATAGGGGTTAAATATCACTTGGAAGCAGTTTTATTAACTAAAATCTATTGATATGAATGTTTAAATGATCGAATCGGGGATAACAGAGAGGAGCTATGGAGAAAAAGGGCAGGCGAAGGTTGAATGTAGAGACAATTAATATTAGTCTTTTTTTTATCTATTACCCAGGATATTTTCAAGCATCGCTCATAATTTATTAGATTTGTGTGTACATTTTTATGACCTCTGCTGATCCCTCGATCTTCTGCTTTATTGATGTCTCAACTATTTCCCTGCCTCAACAAATATAACCCATAAAATCATTCCATCAACTGAAATACAATTCAATCTGTCCATCCGAATCAATATTTCGATATTTAATATGGATCTACATGGGCTCTCGGCCCCACCTTGCCTTCAGGGGAATTTCAGGGTCGTTCCGCTTATGCCGAGCGTCCAATGCGCTTGGCACGCAATTAGCATTTGAAATTGAATTGAGTTTTCCTCGTATGCTTGAGAGGTCTATCCGTCTGTCTGTTTGACTGGTCAGTCGCTTGGCCAACAACTCTCCGTTTGTTGTTGTTGTCATTTGAATATTTCATTACCAAAGCCAAGCCATGATATCTGGCGTGTACCTTGCGCGGTTTTTAATGTTTTTGGCTTTGAGCCAAACAAATATTTTTCAAATGCAATGACTTTGGTCTGGTTACCCCAAAAAATAGGTGATTTCAACATCCGATATGGAATTAAATTACTGCTGAAGATT